GGATTTGCAGTTGGTACCTGTTTCTCAGCTGTTGTTACCTTGCTGAGACTCTCAAGTGGAACTGCACCAGGGCAAGGTCTGTCCCACACTATAATACAGTATTTAAATAGAATCGTAGAAGCATAAAACACTTTGTGTTGGAATTGACCTTTAAGACCACTTTGTTCCACTCCCTGCCACGGCAGGGCCAGCTCCCAGTGTCCCAGGAGCTGCCAGCCCCAATGTCCAGCCTGGCCTTGGGCACTGCCAGGGATCCAGGGGCAGCCCCAGCTGCTCTGGGCACCCTGTGCCAGGGCCTGCCCACCCTCACAGAGAAGAATTTTTTCTTAACATCTAATCTAAATCTCTCTTCCTTCAGTTTAAAACTATTCTCCCTTGTCCTATCACTATTTTCTGTGCTTCTGTCTTTATCAGTATAAAAAAAGGTGAAGCTGAACCATTTCTGTATTTCTGTGCTTTTTACTGGTATTTTTATATTTTACCTTGTTTTCATATTAAGCTTTAAGGCTTTTAACTATGCTTTAGTACTCTGTGAAGATAATGTCTTTTGTTCTTATTTTGGTCTGTAATCTTAGAAACAGTATTTTAAATCAAGTAAGTTGTGTGGTGAAGATTGCAAAAATTCTGGTTTTCTCGTATTTAGCAATTTCAAATATTCTCCAGCTGTTTCAGAAAGCATGTTTTGGATGAGTATCTAAACACAGAAGTGCATTAGAAAAATGAGATCTCAATCTATCAAATTCTTTAAACTGATTTTGTTCTTTGCTTAGGTCTTCAGAAAATAACTTGCTCTTAATTAACAAAGATGTATTAGTTGCAGTGTCCAAGGACAGGTCAGACAGGACTTTAAGCAACCTGAATTGTGGAAGGTGTCCCTGCCCAGGGCAGCTGACTGGCACTTGATGTTATGTAAGTCCCCTTCCTACCCAAACCATGCAGTGATTTCATATTTTCTGGATGATATTCATATCACTTTCGCAGTCTTCTGTCAGCAAGACTGTGGATGGTATTTCTTCTCAGAGGCGCACCTCTTCTGTGCTTAACTCTTCCCAGACTTTTCATAGGTTGTTCAGACTTTGGTTAGCCACAGAAAATTTTTGCTTGTGTTTGATACCAAGATTGTGTCCAAGGCAGGCCAGCTTCTTTAGCAGCATGTCCAGCTTTTGTTGTGAAATCACAGGTCTGTTTTTCTGGGCAAGGTTTGAACAGAAGTTGTTCAGAGTGAGAAAGGATTGCATTTTCCCTGCTAAGAAAATGCCTATCAGTAAGTTTGGAACCAGGGAGGATGCTGTTCAGACCTGTCCCCAACATGACAAGACTTCCAGCTTCAGGTCGCAGGTGGGATTGCTCTCCAAGCTGTGTGCATCTGTGGGAAACTGAGTCAGTGTTCTGAGCTGGGTGGGATGCCTGGGAGGGACTTGAATCAGATGGTAGGGTGGCTGTTGAAACAGGTGTGGCATATGCTGGAGCCCTAGTGCTGGAGGAGCAGCATGTGCACGCTTCCCCAGGCACTGTGACAGGTCTCAATGCATTACATTTTGATGCATTTCATCAGAAGTAGTTCAGGAAATTGTGAGCTAACGGTGTCATCCCAAATGCACAATCTTATAGAGATAAAGGATGAAATGTTTGTTTGGGAAGAATGTAATCTTTTGTACTAAGGAGAGTGCTGTATCTGTGCTCTTCACTCGATTTTCAGGAAAGATGCCACTGAACTAGGAACTAATTGTTTTGCAGAATAGGTAGGTATACATGTAGTGGTATTGTCAATAAAACATGTGGATGCAACCCTATGTGGATGCACTGATTATATGAAAAATGTTTTTACCACTCCCTGGAGCCTACTTATAATTAAAATTATTTCAAACCTTCCAACAGTATTTTAATTATCAAAGATATTCTAATTTAACAAGGGATAATGCTAATGGTATTATTTATATAGTGTCTAACAGCCAAACACATCCTGAAGACCTTCACAAACTCCTGTGTGTCATATGCAGTGTACAGGAAGTCCTTTAGTTCTACAGTGGAGTCCAGAACTCACTGGCAATTAGTTTGAATTTGGGAGACACATTGCAAAAGTACAAGCAATTCCTTTGCTCCTAGGATGCAGAGAGCAGGTGATTACAGTGAGGGAGGCTTGGGTGTCTCCTTTTGTGCAGGGTTGCCCATCTCAGTGGTCCCAGTTCTGTCTGACTCCCGCCCAGGTCCCTCCTTGGCACTAATGCTGCATGTGTTATTCCTCATCCCAGGACAGCCTGACTGCACTGGAAAGTGTCTTGGAGAATGATCCCATCTCACATCCCCAGGACAGCATGTGGAGATGTTGGCAAACAGGGATGGTGTGAGTTGGCAGCCCATTCTGGCTGGCAACATAAACTGTGCTTCCTTCCAGCAACATATCAAATGCTGACCTTGAGACCAAACCACTCAGGGACCCGCTACCATCTCTGCATGATTTCATACTTTCCTTGAAATAAGAGAGAAATAGCCTCCTCTTCCTTGAGCTTTGGTGGCAGTGCCTTAGGGTCATCCCCTGCCTCACTGCCCCTTGGACAAAAGGCAGCTGGGAGAGATGCATGGATGTGATGGCAAGAGTTACACGATGGTGCCTTCATTCCTAGACTTCACACTCTGGTATCTGTGGTGGGAGACCCTTCCCAGCACCATGCTGCCACAGTGCCTGTCCCTGGCTCAGGCTGCTGCCCCAGTATTTCCTTTCATTGGCCTCCTCCAAGGTGTCCACTCCCAAAAATCTGGAGCTGCACTCCGTAATAAAAGTGCTGCTGGTGAAAGGTGGGACTGCTATTCCATTTTCAAACACAAGGGTATCTCATTATGTGATCTCATTATTGTGCACCAATCTCTGGGTGCACAAACAGTGCAGAGTGCACAGACTGTACTGGCATCACCAAGAACAGGTTGCAGGTTATGCCTGTCTTGTGTCATTTCACTCCCTCTTGTCCTCCCCTTTATCCCAAAACTGCATAAAGCTTTAGCTTTGAATTCAAATTGTGAATAACAGCTCAAACTGAAATTTAAAGCCAGCATTTCCAGGCTCCAGAGATAGGGTCTCCCTGACCCTAGCTGTACCATACAGCTACCAACTACAATTTTAATTCTATAAGCCATGGTTGACTGAACTCAGCACAGGGGTCTATTTGATATTATTTGATTTAGAATAGTAAAAAAAAACCCCAAACAAAACAAAACAAACAAACAAACAAAAACACTCCCCACTCCCCCAAATTATTTAAAGATATACTGCTTTCTTGTATCCTTCTGTACCTTTTTACACTTAGACATCCTACTCAGATGTTCATCCTACTCCAGGTTCAGGGTATTTTTTCCCTTACTGTGTGGAATAAACTGATCCTTGTACTTTACAAAAGCCATCATCATCTATCCTTGATAAAATTACATGACTTTATCTAAGGACAGTATATATAAAGTTGTTGTCACTGAAATTGCTGATCTCAAATTGAGGAAGAAGTTTCCTGCGTTAACTCCTAACATCAAATATCTGTTCAGTATAGGGAAAGTTCTGCTTCAATTCAGCATTATCAACTGAGGTTGAATGAGGTATTTCTATGTTGGTCCCCCCGTCTGAGAACTCTGCCTTAAAGAAGCCCAGATTTCTGCACAGACAGCATTTTCTGCAAGATCCATCTGAAGGATGATCTTAAATCAATAGTCTTTTGTGAAAAACCTTGTCCACCAAGCATCACTTGTATTACTGATGGCCAGCATGTGCTTGTGGACACAACTGATGTCTACAGGAACAGGCTGGTTTTGTGCAGATCACCTCTATCAGATCACCTATTTACAATCAAAAAACTTGATGCAGAGTCTGCCAGAAGAGGTCTAGGTGATGTTATTCCTCTGCAGACTTCTTGGTCTGTAAGCAACTGCAGCAGACATGGAAATCTTGCTGCTAAGGATGCATTTGAATTCTGCTCCTCAGAACTATTCTGGCAGCTAGATGCTATTTTTAAAACATTTCCTCCCTCTGCCTAGTTCGATGTTGCCATCTGGAGAAGAAATCTGATATTTACTGTTGTTCTTGGAGTTCCACCTCCTGGAGTTCTGGGAATACTGCAGATCTCAGTTTTTAGCGCATAAAAGATGTATTTCCAGCACTGACAGGTGAAGTAAAAGTAGGAAACCACTGTGAATCTGCAAAAAGCAAATCGAAACAAGTCCCTGCATTGCAAGAGTCTTTTCAGACTGCCAATCAAACATTTTTCAAACTTGTCTCATGGCTTTTCATCCATAGTCAGTCACTTATAACTCCTGCTAAAAACCTCTGCCAAAGGAGAGAGGAAGGAAAATATGCTTTGGAGCCCAGGTTTGAGTCCTGCCAGTAAGATGGAGAAATACAAAGTGAATTGGAGGGTCAGGAGTGCATCTGGGACTGGGCCTTGCTGAGGGTGTTGCAGTGGTAATTGAGCCCAGGGATTCCCCACCTTAGTACAACACAGGCTGACTAGTGCTTTGGGCTTGCCTGGCCAGTGCTATTGGTAGTGTTTCACAGACAGCCCATGCCAGAGCTTATAGTTCAGCACGGGATGGAGTTGAGCAGGACTTGCAGGTAGCACAGGAAGGGGACAGAGTGTGTGGGTGGTGACTGGGCAAAGCATTTTGCTGGAGTTGACCCAAGTTGACTGTGACTGTCATCAGGCCACCTACTTATCCTCTGTGTTCTCCTGTATACAGACCATGAACCAGGCAGCTTCCCAGGGGGCACAGTAAAAATGATGCAGGCAAAAATATGACTGTTGTCCTGTATCCTGCCTTTAAATTATGTGTGAAGTTGTTGATGGGTTAAAGTTGCTTGTAATGCAAGACGGTACAGTGTGTTTTCTAGCAAACTGTAACCACACAAAAAGTCTTCATGACTTCAGGTATTGGTACCTACATCTGTTCGAGAGAAAAGACACTCTACTATAGGCCACATCATGAGACTACTCATTTTTCCTCTTCTCTCTCCTCTTTGAAAGGTATTCAGGAATCTCCAGTACCAAATGGCCATTCTCTCCCAAGCAGAGATTTTCTTCGGAAACAGATGCGAGGAGACCTTTTCACCCAGCAGCAGCTAGAAGTGTTGGATCGTGTTTTTGAGAGACAACATTATTCTGACATCTTCACAACAACTGAGCCCATCAAACCAGAGCAGGTACTATTGTAGATATTTTATGTTTTGCTGATATGCTTTCCACTGGCAGAGATGTGTTTGGTGGACATCATCAAAGGCTTTTCAGAGTTTCAGTAGACAATATGGAGACAGATGTCTTGTCAAGCTCATTTCAGCCAAGTCCACATTAGCCATTAAAGCCTTTTAAAAAATCAAGGAAAACATTAATTGTGCAAAAATTAGCAAATGTTTGGCTATGAAATTACACCTGATCCAGAGCAGTTGCATCAAATTAATCTTTAAAGAGCACCACAGCTTCTGATGTTTTTGTTAGATCAAAAGAAGGCAGTGCAGGTAACATGGAGAAGACCTGCAAAACCCAGTGCCTAATTTTGGTTCACAGTGAGCATGACTGTGGGCACAAATCAGATTTTTGTATCTGGAAATGGCTTATTAGACATGTAACTGGCCATTTGCTGAGAGAAACACCCGAATAGCATGTGAAGGCAAATTAATTCCACCTATGGATCTACAGTGTTTGAGGACTTGGCGCTAATATTTTGGAAAAAATTCAATTTCTGCAAGCATAGTATAGAAGCATGTGAAAAAACTGATGAGCTATGTCTCTCTTTTGAGCTACGTTCTTCTTCTTGGGTGGCAGTATTTAATTTAGCTGCTGAGAAGGAGGTAGAAATTAATATATTGCTGTCAGCACCGATATTGGTCTAGCTTGCTACTTAATGATGTATTCAGCCATTAATCTTCAGTGTTCTTAATATCAGACATGCTTTTTAGCAAGGTGGATGGACTTCCCTAACACTGATTCCCCTTGGAGGAATCTATACATTTGAGGGCCATTGGAGATTGTCTTATGGTAGCCTACTACCATTGAGGCTTTTCTTCTTCTTCTTTTTTTCTTTTTAAATTATTTATGCTGAAAATACTATGGTAGAGTAAGGATTCTTCATTCCTTTAAGATCATCTGTCATTTGCTATTTCATTCATAGGGACATTTTCTTTTCAGCACCTTCTGCTGGTTTTGTGTTTTTTCTGATTTGTGTGTGCTGTGAAACTGCAGATATGAACTTGAGCTGGAAAGAGATGGGAAGTCACACCATCGGTGTCTCTGGAAGGTGAAGTGGCCTTCACATACCACTAGATGGTGATTATCCCATCCAAACACGGTGGATGCTGGAGAGGGCAGGCACCCTGCCCAAGGCTATGGCAAGCCTTTTCAGCATTGGTCACCTAGGAATTGTGTCTTGTTAGATTTCTTCCTGCAAAAACTTTACAGGCCAAAATAGTCACTGCAAAGGGAGAAGTGATGGGAGGAGACTTTTAATTTGTTTTTGTTTTCTGGAGCCTCTTAGTCATGGCCAGCTGTAGCTCATGGGAGACAGTCCAGCAGTGAGTGAACATTTATTCAGAGATAAACTTTTACTGCTTTTATAGGAAGAAGGAGGGATTTGAATAAGGGTGTTGCTGAATTGTTATCCCAGTTATCAAATACGGGATATTTAGCTCTTGATGGAGAAAGGACCTCCCAGGGCCACAAAAGGAGTTGTGACTAGAATGGCTCTAAGCAGCAAGATTATTGAAGTTGGAGACATGCTGCTATTAATCTGATGAACAAGATACTCCTTGCATGCTCTGGGAAGTCATGTAAGACGCTGAGAAATCTGGCATTATGAGGTGCAAAATGTACTGTGCAGAACCACATTGCCCGGTATTTTTACATGTAATTACAAAAGAAATTTGTAGTTGTTCATTTTCATATAGCTTGAAGTATGGTGTTTGCTTTTGGAAGGCTGGACCATAGTGAAGGGCTTGCAAATATTTGGGGTCAGCTTCTGCTTTCTGATGGTATGTGAAGAGTAACTTTCAACATGCCCAGATGTGATCTGTATGACTTGTAGTTCACAAAGATGCTGTATGAATCCCAGCCCTTACAGAAACAGTCTTGTCTCACCCCCTTGGTGAGTCAAGCAAAGCTGTCATGGTGCTTACCTGAAGTGGAGAAGTTGTCTGCATCAATTAGTAGGGCCAAAGAAATCAATGAGAAATCAAATACTGAGAATATTAATGACATGCTCTGAAAAACAGAGTTATCCCTGGATTGGATTGCTGTAGTATAAAGCAAGATCTGCCCATGACATTTGTCTGTCCAAAGTGGTGGTGGACCCCACAGTGGTGCTTTAGAAGCTAAGTCAGTGGTGGATGTATGGAGCTTTAAGCTCTTTCTGTACAGGAAAATATTGAAAAGATACTCCTCCCCATGGAGACAGCATGTGGAAAGAGGACTTGTATGAACTGCTCACTAACTGTTTATCCATTTTGTTAGAAATTTGATCCAACAGCAGCCAGCTGAACATCACTAATTTTGCTTCGGCAGAAAAACTTACTGATGTGCCAGTACTATTCACCTGAGGAAGGCTCCAGGTATTTTAATGGAATAGTTATTACTCTATAGACACTGTAGATCCCTCTTACTTCCTGTTTTGTGGCTTCTCTCTAGGTCTTTGTCCTCACTTGTGTGCTGGGGGCAGGCCCTTGGCAATGGTGAGGGGGAAAGAAGTCCCTCTGCACAGCACAGTATTTGCAGCCTCATCATACTTTGTTTCCAGATGCTGCCCAAAGTCCTCCTGGTGCATTTTTTGTACAAAATTTGTCCTTACCTTTATGAGTCCACTGCCCTTCATGTAGGCAGAGAGGTTGATGGGCTGTGTGGGGAGTGTCACTGGGGTGTTGCAGGGTTACTGTGTAACTCTTTGTTTTGAGTACTTCAAATACACTTCCATTTCCCATCTTGATGTTTCCCTCAGTTAACCTGTATAAAATGGAGTCTCTTGGGTTGTTCATCATCTTCTGACATGGTTAGAGCAGGGTGCTAGTTACACCATGATTGTGGGTTCAATTCCTTACTTAAGAGTTGGAGTCAATAGTCCTTGTGGGTACCTTCCAACTCAGAATATTCTTTGAATCTCTGAATCTATACTGTTGACAATTGTAATGACTGTTGTAATCTGTACTATTGACAATAATCATATCAACTTTCACATCTACTGTAAGTTGTGGCATTTATGAAGAGAGTGATGAGGAATGGATACTTGTCTTTGGGGAAGGGCTCATACCATGTTGAGAGAGAAGGCAACCACTGGACAGTGACAGGAAATAAAACATCAGACAATCCTTTGAGAGAAACAGTGATGATTGTGTGTGCTGGGTGGGGCAGGGATCCTGCTGTGTACACCTACCATTAAAGACTGTCAGACATTGTGCATCAAGGGCAGAATTAAGGCATCAGCTGTTACTTGCCTTGTTTTGCAGCCTAGCACCCAGTGGTTCAGCTGGGCTCATGTACATGTGTGCTCCACAGATGTGTTTCCTGCACATGTGGAGCATGAAAAACATCCAGTGGCAGAGGGAGCCGGGGGTTATCTGTGCAAACAGCATCAAGTCCTTTCATGTCTATATGTTGTGGGGAGGAGCTGTGACATAAAATCAGTACTCAGAGCACTCTGGCCCACCTCTCCCTGACAGAGTCCTGCTATAAAAATGAATTCTTCTATTAAGAGAACTCATAACAATGAAGGCCTTTCTCTCATCTTTGTGCCCTTTTGTGCTCATTTTCTGCAAATATCCCATGATTAATTTGCATCAGCTGCAAATATTAATGGAAAACTTATTGAAAATGTTCACTTATTTCTGGGCATGGGTATAGAAATGCACACAGTGGTATGTTTGCAACAGCAATGTTGCACTGCCATTTTGTACATGGCTTCTATGTACCAGCTCTGTGTGTCTCGTCTATCTGCAGGGACAGTGCCTGCAACCATGTAATGCCAGACCTTGGAATTATCAGACCTTGGAAAAGGAAATCCTTCACAGCAGCTTCCATTCCCTCTGTGCTCAGTATGTGTGTGTGGGTGGGCTCTGCTGCTCCCCAGTGTGTTGGATCTGCAGTGAAGCCTCCCTGCCCACAGGGAAGGCTGTTGCTATTGCCAACCCAGATCCCCTTGGAACAAACCAAACTGACATAAGGAGAAGCTTTTACCTGCCTGCCTTGCCCTGGAATTGTGTTGTGCACCTGTAACATTGTCAGACCAGCATATTTCAGTCTGGCCTTTGCTGCAGGCAATCCCCCATTACTCATGGTCACTGCAGTGACAATGCAGAGTTTATCCAGAGCTGGTGCTCATCCTATGCAGAGAGTTGCAACACTGAGTGGCAAAATTTTCCAGTGCCTATTGTCCATTAAGACCTGGAGGAACTGGAAGCATCAGCTGTACTCAGCAAAATCCTCTGTGTGGCTGTGAGGATGATTGTCCTCCAACAGCTTCCTGTGATTCCAGACAGAAGGAAGGAGGAGCTCTCCACAGCATCTTTGGGAACTTGTCCCAGACTAGCCAAGCCTGTGCCATCTGTTTTGTGAGCTGCTGACTCAAGCAATTCTCTAGTCAAAGCATTGACAAAGACAGGAGATGTTCATCGAGAAAAGGACCCAGGAAACTCAAGGAGACCTGGGGGCTTTAGGTATTTGAGACTGGATAACTGCAGGAATGTCCCATTGAAGCAGGCAGGGGACAAACCTGGTGCTTGTGGACCAATGTGCTCATGGAGGCTGTAAGAGTGGGATTAATGCATCTATGGCTGAAAAATGCAGGGTGAAGGATATACAGCTGGATTGGCTCAATGTGAGACACAGTGCGTTAATTTTCTTAGAATAAAGAAAAGAATTATCCATGCTGGATTTCTGTCCACAATAGAAATGGATTCTTTTGTACTTTCAGTTTCACACATGGGTCCAATCGAATACTCACTGAAGCCAAGAGGAATATTTCTATTGACTTCAATAAACTTTAGATCAGGGCCATAATGAGGCATAACATGATGTGAGCAGATTCAATGCTATGTAGGTCACCAGCTTAGAAGATAACAGCTTGCTGCTAATAGCACATAATTCCTAGGCCGGGGATGGTGCTTTCCCACTGCTTTAAGCTAGACCTAAACAGAATATCTGCTCTCAGAGTGATTTCTGGATA